ATTGGCCAAAGTCGCCGTCCGTTCTGCAAGACGATGTTTATCTGCCGATCGCTGCCGCCCTATCGGCCCGACAGCCAATCTGCATTGGGCGTAGCGTCCGTGGCGAACCCGGCGCACGTGGCGCACGCGGCGGGAAGGACAAACGTGGCGCCCACGTGGCCGCGCGGGGAAACTGGCGCGGCGGCAGACCCGGCGCAGTGTGGCGTTTTTGCCGCGGTGGGTGAGGTGTAAACCTGTCGCCGGGGCTTACCGTGAGTCATTCACAGACAGGCGCACACACATGCACGCGCGCAGGGGACACGGGGAAAAAGTGTTCAACTGAGACGGCCTGTGAGACGCCGATAGGTTCTCTGTGGCAGCTGCGGACGGGGTGGGGAGAGAACAAGGGACCGGTGTGCAGCGCCTCTAGGCGCCTCCACCGGGCGGGGGCGGGGGCGGGGGCGGCGGGCGGCGGGCGGAGTCCGCTCTTGTCCTGCAGTGCCAGTCGTCCTCAGAACGTCCCGCCCTGCTATACGGACGCCCGCGCGGCGCCCTTTGTAAAGACCAGTAGTGAGATAATGGTGGGGGCGTCATCACGATGGGCCGCAACAGCGCCCGGCCTCGGCACATAAACGATGATTTTACGACACTTTTACTGGTGAATGCCCCTTGTCATGCTGCAGAATGATTTACAGTGGTCAGCGACATTGTTCGTCAGTGGCGTCATTTTATTTCGCCTCGCATAATTTCCCCTGTAATTGGTCGTAGTTGTTTTATTGATGACAAAAACATGTACCTGTTGTCAACACTGCTGTGCTCGTCACATTGACGGCCTGGACATTGCTCTATATCTGCTCCTTGGAGCGGGCTCGGACGCATAACGTTACTCACGCCCGGAGTTATGTCTATTTCTGCATGAGGTGGCCGATCATCATCACAGACCAACGTTTGAGCAGGCCACGCGGCTGACATCAGATCAAAAACAAAACATCTGCTCAGACGTTTCGACTCCATCACATCGCCCATAAACCTGGGAAGACGATCGAATATCTTCGCCAGCACGTTCGCAACGACGTGCAGTGGTACGGCGGGTCGTCTAGCGGACCACCCGACCACCGTGTGGCTCCACACGACCCTGTACCGAGCCGGCCGGACCAGCACGCCCCGCCCGGGGCCGACGGGAGGACCACCCACGGACCAGGACCGCTCCGGTCCGCCCCCGACCGTCGCTCGGTCCACCGGCACATTCCAGGCCGATCGAATCAGACGCCACCGGTCTGTCGGCCCGGATCTGACGGGCGACACTGACCCCGGGTCAGAGGTCAGTCTCGGCCCCAGGTCAGGGGTCAGGCCCGGTCGGAGCTGTTTCGCGGAGCGCCGGCGTGACCTGCGGGTCGGCGGAGAGACGCTCCGTCACGGTAGGCTGCGGCTCCGCAGAGACGGCGCCCGGTACTCCGGCTCAGGTCACGAGGTGAAGACGGCTCCGGGGGCCGCGACACACCACCCCGCGGAGAGTCACCTGCGGGAAAGCAGAATAAGAAATAATTCTGAAACCAGGTGCAACACGAAACAATATTATTTCTGCGTAACGAAGAACATCTCAAAAATAACTTTCTTATTTCACCGTCTTGCTATCGATATTACTTTTAATGCATTACAAGGGCCAAATGCAGCCATAAGAATAGCTGTGGTTGAAGCGTTCACCAGCACCTCCATCCCAGACAGAACCCTCGAGGCCCCGGTGACCAGATTGTGACCTTGGCGAGACAAATGAGCCGGCGCTGCCTCACCCGGCTGAAGGCCTCCGGTAAAATGGCGCCGTATTTTGGACACAGCGGAGAGGGGTCAGGGACAGGACAGGGGCCATTGGCACACGCCCAGCGAGGCTCAAATATCACCGACACCACTCTACACATGCAAAATAAATATTGGAAATGCCGACAGGCTCTCCATATATGTAGAGTGTCTAGATGTCTATCTCTCGGCAGTGCCTTACCGAGCGCCGGAGTCGAGACACGTTCGGACATCTTGGTTGTCCAGGCGGATGTGCCTGCCAGTGATAGAGAGCGTCGGTAGATTCTCCTCACTGGATTATCCTCTTCGTTCCGGATTCCGCGACGCCCCTTATCTTCGAGTCTGAAGTCCGCCGAGCTCCCTCTGAAATATGCATGGATAAGTCAAATGCTGAAGCTTATCCTTTGTAGCTGAAGAGGGCGTACATATGTGAAGGCTTCGCGCATTATTCAGGATCTACACAGATATTTGCTGTCGCACGCTCGGTGGATTTTGTGAATATATTGAGCGTCCGTCGCAGCAGCGGCCGCCATCGCGTGCGACGGCATATTTTAAAAACAGATGGAAATGAGCGGTACAAAAAAACATGTCGCCGAGTTGCTATATGACAACCAGTTTTGTTCTCCAATGCTCTTCGCTATTTGCGAAATGACTCTGCGTACTTGCATTCGGTAATAAGAAAAAAGATGCAGCTGGACGGACTCATTTTGTATTCACTCCATAAGCCTGACAATAATACGTGCAACCGGATCTGCTACTGAGACAGCTACTAATGAAACCCATTTCTCACAAATTGAAATTGGCACTTAGCATTGCAAAATTACCATCATTTCCCTAATCTCTGATCGAAATGACGGCACCAATTCGCCGCATGCATTGGCAGCATTAGACTAAATTCGAGCGGGCACCATTTCGGCCGCCCATTCGTTACCAGCGTGTCGGTCTAATTGGACGAACTGGTGAGCATTTCGCCATAATTTGCGGTTCAGCCGCGGCACTCGGCAGCAGCGCACATATCTGGCTACCACGACCTCCCCGAGCGAGCACTTGAATGACCGCTGACCGGCCGATCGGCTCCATCCACCCAATTATCGACCAGGCAAACGGCGCTCGTCTTAGCTCTGCTCGGCTACGGACGCCTGACGTCCACCGCCGCCGCCGCCGCCGCCGCTGCCAATTTCACGGAGCCTCCAGCGCCGCCGTTTTCATCAACGAGAGCCAGAGCCACGTGATTAGGCCATCCATTCATGTCGTAAATCAGCGAGAGCGTTTCCATTCTGGGCCGTCGGTGTTGCAGTGGCTGAAGATGTGCCGTCGACGTCGGCGGCGAGATGACACACGAGAGGACGGCCCAGACAGCCGAGAGGGTTTATCAATAATTTATACACATCCATGCCACATCCCCTGCAAGTCATGGCGGTCGGAGAGAGCCCAAACGGCCGCCGACGCCCTGGCATGCAGGAGACAGGCCTCTGCGGAAAGAAAGAACCAACCAAATTCGCCCGGTCGGTAAGATTGGTCCGGTCTGTCGATAAGTGCGCAACGAACTAAAATGGAATACCGTTTGGCGACAGCTTATTTTTAAGACTCATGCGCGATTCGCTAATAAATAAGTTTTATCGTATGTTTGAATTTAATTAGAGAGCTGAATTCGCTGCCGGTTTTCTGGCTCGGACGAATGATGACGAAGCTGAGCTGAAACAAAGCCGGCGGCTGAGCGGCGGACAGCGCTCCCCGCCCCTGCCCTGCCCCCTCCCCGGCCCGTCCGCGGTAATGTATGGCCGCCTGACGACAATGGCAGGCAGAGCGCCGGAGCTAAGGAGGAGAGAGCGCGGCGTTTCCGGCGAGTGACTCCGCCGACGGAGCCCTCGCCTCAAGTGGGGCTCGGCTGACTCTCAATCTGCCGAGCATTGACACGCTCTTGTAATTCGCGAGTCGGCTCGGCGCAGCGTCGCGCCGGCCATTCCATTATCACTCATAACCCTTCTGGCCGGGCCTTATTTAGCAAAGCGTCGCTGCGCCGCCTACAGAGCGCTGTATTACACACATATCTGGTTGATTGGTGCCCGCGGCCGGCGCCGCCGCCTCCGGCCTGGATGAGTTACAGCCGGCAGCCGACGCCCGCGGGCGTTTGATTTAAATGGACGCCGCTGCCTGCCGCGCCACTAGGATCGACCGGTTCGCCGGCACGGTAGGCCGACTCCCGTGTTATTTACGCGATGGCAATGTCGGCCTGCAGCGCCGGCGTCAATCAGACTGCCAGAGTGCACTCCTCCCAGCGCGGGGGCTCCTTCATCTCGGCCGGCCCCGGCGCGGCGCGGCGCTCTGTTGCAAAACATTCGGACGCGTGGTGCCGCCGACGGTTGTTTATTGTTGTTACTTAATCGAGCCGGGTGTCGGCGGCGCTGGCCGGCACGGGAAGGTGTTTGCGGACGTAGCCGTTGAGTTACGGCGCGGCGCGGCGATACCGGTGTGGTGCGCCACATACGACCGCCGCGCCGCGCTCTGCGGGCCTCATTACGGGAGCATTCACACAGCCGGCCCCAGGGACGGCGGGGCGGCTGGGCGCCGCCGCCGGCAGAATATGCGCCCGAAGAGTTACGGGATTCGCTGCTGATTCCGGGTGTGGCTAGAAGAAATGTCTTGGTTGATTACATAGGGAGGCAAAACACAGCGGAGAACGATGCCCGTCAGTCGGCCGATCCGAAATTGCTTTTGCTCTGTAAGTGATGATCCCCTTTCAAGGGGCGCAGAGGAAATCCCTTAATGCGAGGCAAGAAAATAAGGAGCACGGCTGGGTGCTTCCAGGTCCATTTCAGCTCTTCTTCCGTACGGCTTGCGTTACCAGTGACTAGTGAGGTATGCTTTGATGTTGCAAGAGGTCTTGCTCTCATCCTGTAGAACACCCATCCTCAAGTATAAATCGCAAAATTGGGGTCGGATTTCCTTCTGTCTGACGGTTTGCGGTCAGCCGTGTAAAATTACTTCAAACTGCGTGCCAGCACGCACAAATTAGCACCTACCATCAGCACTAAATCCACTCAGCGCCGCTTAAACTGCGCTAAACGGTGCTTGCCTACCGTTCCAGCGGCGTGCTGCAGACTGCAGGACAGGACACGGCGTCCTCGGCTGTCGCCACCCTGAGCGATATACTGCTGACGTGGCTGACGTGGTCGCTGACGTAGCCGTGTCCCCAGTGACTGACCCGTACGGCGCCCCTCTTTCAGGGCCCAGCGGGTGTCCGCGTCGCCGCGGACGGCAGACGTACAGCCGCTTCCAGACGCTGGAGCTGGAGAAGGAGTTCCACTACAACCACTACCTGACCCGGCGGCGGCGGATAGAGATCGCCCACCTGCTCAACCTCACCGAACGACAAATCAAAATCTGGTTCCAGGTAGGTGAAACTGCCAAAAAAAGAAAAACGGATTCTGGCTCTCAACATGGAGGCCTTCTATCTTTAAAATTCCGTTAGCAACACTTTAATTACAATTTCACGATGGCAGCATGAGTCTAAATCCTTCATCACTCTGGCAACCTATGACACTACTCCCATCCTCTGGCAGAACCGGCGGATGAAGTTGAAGAAGGAGCTGCGGGCAGTGCGGGAGATCAACGACAAGGCCAAGACGACGGAGGATGGCAAGGAGGACAAGTCAGAGCCGGCCACTGCTGAAGAGCAGACGGCGGAGGTCGGCAGCAGCGACGACACTCCGGGAGCCACCGGCTCGGGCTCGGCCGCCCCCGGCAGCCCGCCGCCGGCCGACACCTAACTGACCCGACCTGAGCCGCCGCTCCCAGTGCCATGCGCGCGACTGAAGGGTCCTCTCCATAATACTGTACTCCGCTGTGCCACTCTGTACCGATCCCCGCTGTACTGTAGAGTATCGTGCAGCGCCTGTTGTGTGCAGCTCTGTACCACACTCTGCCGTACCAAACCGCAGGTGCGGTACAAACTGACCTGTACCCTGTCCGCCTTGTCAGGTGGGAATTTCTCCCGTAAAACTGGTAAAATGTGCCATCGAGAGGACCGAGTCCTCTGAGCGCACAAAGACGTGCCGAATGGGGAACGTCGCGAAATGGCAATCACTTACTGACTGGTGCTGGATTGTGCATTCAACAACCGAACGCTCAGAGCTGGTTCGTTAAATGGTGGGGGCCATCTAATGACGCCCCCTATATCATGTAGCCAGATGTCCCTTGTATTAGATAGTGCTTTGTGTAAATGCGCGGCTGCCTGAGCTGTTGGATGTTCCCTCCACCTATGATCAAACCACTCATCTGCGGCATGCAAGCGCTCGGTGCTGGCGCATCGTTCAGCCGTAGAATCTCATGTCGACGTCCAGGGCGTCGTCGCTCGGACGTGCTCTCATCTAGGTTGTCACAGACTCATTTGTCTCATGTCGTGTGCCTCCATTTGTTTCGCCACATCCCACACACACAGCCGATCGCGCCGCCACAGACCTCAGCTCAGCCCGGCTATCCGACCCCGACCCCGGCCCGACCCCGGCCCCGACCGCATCCCGGCTTCTGCCTGCGAGTGCGACACTCGCCCGAGCTGCGGCGCGTGACACTGCTGCCGAGTCGTCGCTAATTACGGGCTGCGCCGCCTAAATCATTTAGCGCGCCTGCATTAGGGCCTAATGTCTCGGCGGTGGCAGCGCGGCGCTCGTAGCCCGCGGGCCCGCCGACTTCGCCAGCCGGCACATCAGCCGCCATTAGTATGGAAAACAGGCGGCGAAATTCGCCAGCCCTCAGGCAGACCCCAGCAATATGCCGGCAGGCAATGAATTTATGATTGTAATTTCATGGTTCCACTGTGTTACTGGGTGCAACACGTTTCCGTAATGGCGTCCGAGCGAGTGGAAATCCGGAAAACCGCGTCATCGGACCTCTGTCCGGCTCCCGCGGCTCCGCGCTGTTTGAGGCTCCCTCTCCCCGCGACTGGGTCCAGCCGGCGGCTCCCGGCGGCTCCTGTTACTCCCAACCGCGGCTCCCGTGGCCGGTTTCGAACGACCGAGCGCGCCTGGTGGAGGGGAGCGAGGCAGAAAGAGCCGCCAGGGACGCGTCTCGTCGAGTCTCTGCTCGCCTCGCCCTCCCCTGTGCAGGCTGTGTCTCTCCGGACTGCCCGACTGGCAGCTCCACCGACCCCTGGCCAGCGGCTCCCCCGGCTCGTCTCCGTGTTTTCATCGGATTTTGTGTCGCCAGTAACGAGATGCAGGCTCGTCGCCGGCACAGACGCCATGTTTGCCGACTCTTTCATCGGCCGACCGGGACTGGCAGCCCGCCTGGGAGCGCGCACAGGTGACAACACCCGCCAACGGGCGGTGTTGTCTGTCGCGCGAGACAACTATGCACTCCAGCGCGCCGGGCCGGAGCCGCTCTGTCTCTCCCGTCGCAATGTCTCGCCACTCTCCCACCATCCATCTGAGCGGCGACAGAGCCAGCCATGCGAGATATTGGAGCACGTCCCGCCCCCTTTAATCATGGAAAAAGCGGCGCCGTATCCCCCTACGCGTTTCGTCGCAGCTGCCGGCCGGAGGTATTCATTTCTCCCGGCCGCCGCCGCCGCCGCCGCCGCCGCCGCCGCCGCCGCCGCCGGTCCGTCGCCCCCGACTGCCGCCGACTCCGACATCGGAGGCGGCCAGTAAATCACACGTGCAGCTCGCCCACCGCAGCCGTGACGGGATCCGGTGTCCGGCCGTCCGGGACCGGTCGGGGTCGAAGTCCGATGATTTTTAGTTTGCCGGGTGGTCGCCGGAGTCACGCGGCCCTAGGCCAAGGGTTCAGTACGCGGTATAACCTGTGTTTTGGTTCCAGCGACTCCGTACAACAGGGCTGGGCTTGAGATGTGGTATGTGGCTGGCGTGGATGTGAGGACTACATACTTTCCAGAACACAGCCAACTAGTTGAGTGTGCATGTAGGTTTTGTAGAAGCCTGGTCATTTTGGGACCCCGGTAGCAGTATGAATGGTGAATGTGCGTCAATGTTTTAAGTTTCGAAGTCTCATTTCGACCCTTTGAGAGGCGACTGAATGGAAACCAAAATACGTAATGTCACCGGTCACCGGCGTTCGCTGGTTCAAACGAGTCGCTAAAATACGTAATAGACGCGCCTTCAGTGTCGGCGGCGCTGGCCGGTGTGATTTAGCACGCGGCGCGGCGCCCCGCTAGGTGTAACGGCGAGCTGTAGAACAATACGTAAATGCCCCGAGTATCGGTGTTCGATGTTGCGACGGTCGGCCTTTTGGCCTCGTCTGTGTCCCGAGCGTCTGTTGTGTGCGATGAGACGGAGCGCGAAGTACCCGTTAGTTTTGTTGGCGTTTGCTTGTACCTACCACCAGGAGCTTAATCTAATCCTATGTGTGTTTCTGTTAGAATTAGTTGTTAATAAATGATAAAATGGAACGTGTTTTAAAAAGACGAGAGTCACAGACGAAGAAAATGGGAAATACAATAGCAGCGGTGAATTATAAACATTCGAACGAAGGTCAAATTACATGTTGCTTAAAATTTTGATATCATTTGCTGATGGAATATTGACACGTGAAGATTGCACTGCATTCATTATGCATTGGTATTTTTACAAATACCTGCAAACTAGCAAAAAAAAAAAAAAAACTCGAGCCAATGAAAGTCGATGCTGATTCATTCCCGCAGCAGTAAGTAAGCAATTCTTTTTCGATGTGGGACATCGGTTTTTCTTTTGATCTTTTTTATAAATAACTTGCAGTAGAATTGACACGCATGATCCATATTCAAGTGATCGATGGCCGAATCAAATAACGATATAAAGTCATGTATCAGGCAGCTAGGAAATCGGTACGGCCACGTTAACCCGCGCCCTGGTGGAGTCTATTTATAACGCAACCTGGTGGGGGGGGGGGTATTTTTTGCCCCCCCCCCCCTCGTATCTCCGAAACTACTGGACGGATCCGCAAAATCCAAACGGCGTTCGAAAGGCCTGTCAAATTTGTTCGAAAGAAACCAAATTTCATTGACCTCGGGGTCACCGATGACGTCACAGGTCAGGTCAAAGATGAAATGTTTCACCGTTCACGGGTCTTCTAGGGAATGCGCTATAACACCGCTAGGAAAACGCATTTTGTCGAGAATCAGCGATAGGGCGTCAGTTGCCTAGTAGATATGTTGCTATTAGAGGTCACTGACAATACCAGGTCAGGTCACAGGTCAGGTCACCAAGGGTCACAGGTCAGGTCACATGAGCCCAACTTTACTAAGGTTGTGTGATGGATGTTTTATGGCCAATTTTTTTTTCATTTCCAACTCAATGGTGTTAGTTATAAGACTATCAGGTACGGTTTAGGTCACTTTCTGGTGAAGTTCAGGTCAAGGTCAGGTCAAGGTCAGGCAAAAAAAGGTCAAATTTTAAAGTTGATAGTTTTGCATAAAATTGGTATTGATTCGATGCAGCTCGTCACGTGGAGTCTAATGGTGGTCTTTGTTTTGCGCTACGGGGTCTAGAATTGCTAAAAATTGAGTTTGAAAATTTGACGTCATCAATTTTGAACAGTTGTTTGGCTATAACTTCGCCAAAAAAGAGGCATCAATCTAAAATTTGGTATGTGGATGGAAGGCGATAAGGACTATCACATATATTCCGGTTTTTGCGAAATTCAAAAAACTTTTTGGATTTTTCGATTATTATATCAATTTTTTTTGGGGGGGGGGTCAAAATCCAAAAAAATCAAAAATCCGAGACAGCAGTGTTGTAGCCCTGTCGATTCTACAGCTTTTATGTCTTTATCATTTTTCTGTATTTGCAAAGCTATAGGCCTGACAGCTCTTCCCGCGAAACCCTTTTTTGGGTCGAAAACGGCAGAACATGACGTCACTCTGACGTCATTTCCGGCCAACCTATCATAGCCTTTGAAAAAAGTTTTGGCTCCAATGTGTAAAATTGATGTCCGGGAGGGTACTGAAAGTTTGGTGACGATCGGCGCAGCGGTTCTGGAGATATATCGAAAAGTCTGGAGGGGGCAAAAAATAGCCCCTCCCCCACCAGGTCGCGGGTTAACCCATACACGTAAATAGCGATCCAATCCCTTTACATATCAATGCGCCACTGCCATTCCCTCCTTCCCTCTTTCTCTGGACGCGCCCCTGCGCAGGTCGCGGTCACCGGTCAGCGGGGTGCTGGCTCGGCACGCCAGTTGTGACCGGGAACGGGAGGCAGAAGAACACAGAGCCTGATTGGGGACTGATCCCTCGCCACGGCACGCCACCGCAACTCTGACTAATCCTCGCGGGGCCTTATAAGGTAAGTCTGACAATTGGGAGTCGCTCTGCGGCCGTCACAAATACACGTGTTAGCCGGCACACCCACGCATCTGGGCTGCCATATTTTCCCGGCGGTGGTGGGAGCGCGTGACGCGCGCGGGGCGCGGGGCGCGGCGCCGCCATCTCGGCGCGGTCTCGGACTGTGTCCACTGGCGGCAGCGGCGACGGCCCCGCACGGCCGCCATAGCCCAACAGCGATTATGAAAGATCACAATGCTCTTTGCATAAGTGAGCAGGTCCTAGCTCACGTCGAGCGGCGTCAATTAGTGTCAGGCCGCGCGGCGCGGCCGGCCGGGGCCGACTGCGAATGGCCGGTAAATAATTGTGGCGGCCGGGCCGCGGGCGGCGGCGGCGCGGCCGGCTGCGGCCGACGCTGGCCGTTACGGCCCCGTATATGCAGCCGGGCCGGCCCGGCTGATGTCTTGATTTGGGCCCGGCCCGGTCACGTCGAGGTCAGAGCCGAATCGGCCGCCGCCGGCGCTCGGAAGGCCGGCTGATGACGGAACAGGAAACAGAGGCCGCTCTCCAATTGTGTTGGAGGCTTCAGAATTGTCGAATACGGATTTTTAAGAAGTGCAGCATGTGTTTGAATATTTCAGCATGATAGCAGAAAACATCGAAAGGTTATTTAAATTCAGATGAGGACGGGACACGTCTTCTAGCAGACTTTGTCACTAGCTGCGCAAATTAACAACGTGACGTCGCTAGATTTATGTACCGATTCTTGTCGCATATTTTCAAAGTAGGCGTATACTATTTCTGATTGCAGTAACAGTCACTGTTAAATATCTTGTCGTAAATGATTCTGTTCCCGTTGAATATATGCTTATCTCAAGGACAGACTAGTCTCGGTATGGCTTACCCGCTGTGTTACACGAAACTGACCGTCAGATTATGTTCAGCACTGTCATGAACGGAGGCCAGAGAGAAAAGTGTCCACCCAGTAATGAGCCAATGCCCAGGCAGGACAGCTCGTTTGCAATCAAGGCTCGAGACATTCCATAAGTTTCTGAACATGAGTAATGCTGCACTAGATGGCTATCCAAATATACATGGAGCATTTTTCATGGTCTGTTGGTCCTTTGGCCGAATGGCAGACGATTTAGACTGGACGGCTGAGGTACCCAACTGCTAGACTCGATGAGATGAAGACAATGGATGCTTCATATGGACTACCTATATCAACGGATAAGGGATAGACGGACGTCGATATACAACGATCCACGTCGTGCCTACTGCCCAGCCCTTTATAGTCTAAACTGAATTTTACCATATGCACGGTAGATGGCTTTGACTTACGCTCCGTCGTGCCGTTGCATATGCATATATAGGAAGACTTATCCCAAGCCTAATTGCCAGTGGCGGAGCTTCCTATACCATATACAGTTAGAGGGACAGCTGCCCCACCATCTTTCCATTGTGCCCCACCAGACAGCATTGATTTTTGCCCCAGCAACTTTAGCTTAGTTGTAGCACTTGGTCGCCTTGCAAATCAAGCTTTTTCGCATTGAGCACCTTTAAAATGTTCTTTTATTGCAAAAGATTACTCTGTAATGATAGGAATGGTTTCACATGGATTTACTCTATTATTCAACATGATAATCGGACATTGTAGGTTTGACGACTTCTTGTCTCACCAACTTCCTTGGAAAAGCTCCACCCATGCTAAATGCTATATATACCTATATAGCTGATGTATATCGTAGTTGTCTGAATGTATAGGTATTGCAATTTTATTTACATACATTTAGCTGTGTAGAAAACAAATCGTTATATGTGTTGTTCATGATAAAATCATCATGGGAGTAAGAACGGCTGGAGCATGGTGGGTGCGTGGGTGAAAAAAGTCCAGCCATGGCCCATGTAGGGAGCGGCGCCGGGTACCTTGTTCTCTATCCTCTTGATTTTGGTGTGTATCGCCACCAGTATTGGAAAACGGTTTCAGGCGGGAGGCTCATTGCCAGCGTTGAGGGTGAACGATGCCGAAAAGGTACTGAAAATTGCATTTTGGAACACTAACAATGTCAATGATTCATGCAACGGTTCATTGATTACGGCAATATGTTAAAGTAGATAACTTGGCCATTTTTTAAGAAATTGGGCGATCGGGCTAAAACTTTTCCGCAGCCGTTGAGGGAGCCACCATGCAGACCCTCCGCACGGCGGCGGCCAGCCCGGCTCCGCCGGCTGCTGGACACAGGCAATGGGGGTGGATTTGGACAGAAAATACAGCTTCATTTTGTCAGAGAGCCACCTGAAAATATTTTTGAAATTATTTCAACACCAGAATACTTATAATGATGCTCGAATAAGTCATCGCTCACCTCAAATAAAGCGATGTCGAACTTTTTTTGTTAAGGAGTATAGATATTTCGAAAATATCCAGAAAATATCACTGTTTTGGCGCTAACTACGCAAAAATACATACATATGTGGCATGGCACAAATTCAAAAATAATGTGTAACACGGCAACAAACTTGCTGCTTCGAGGCTAACAAGAAATAGCAACATCAAGAGAAATGGGGTCTTCCATCGTTGTCGCTTCGTTAAGTCACACGACTTTGGCCAGTTTGTCCCATAGCTCAAAGTCCAGAACAGCGTCTCTTGCGACTTCTGCTTTTGAACACCCAGACTTTGCAGATTGAACATTTCCGGCGGCGTTGTGATGTTTTGCAGTCCGAAAACGTCCGCTCGCCCCCGCGCCGCGGCCCGCGAATCTCCCAAGTTAGTGGTCAGCGCGGCGAATAAAGCTGCGAGACATAGAGCCGGCCGTCGTCGGCAGACATCGGCCCTGACTTATCTCCGCCTTATCATGAATGTTACACAACGCCTTGCCGAATCATTACCGATGCATGCTGGCGGGCCGGCGGCCGGCCGGCCGGGCCGCCACAACTCAGCGCAAACAAACCGGGCGGGCGGCCGCGGCGCGGCGGCACGCGATTCGCCGCGTCGGCCCGCCGGCCCGACTTTGGTTACGAGCGCCGCCGGCGGCAGGACGCTGCTCGTCGACTATGCAAATGGGATCGAGCTGCCGTCCGCGGCCGATGAGGGAGCCACCATGCAGACCCTCCGCGAGCGGCGGCGGCCGGCCCGGTCCGCCGGCTCCCGGACAGAGACAATAGGGGTGGATTTGGACAGAAAATACAGCTTCGTTTTGGTGGGCAGCCACCTGAAAATATTTGAAATAATAAAAAAGGGTTACTGAAATGTAATTGGCCTCGTGTCAGTTTATTATTTTTTATCGCGAGCGTCCAAAAAAGAAATAACAACACCACTTGTATTTCTATAGCGTGCGTATATAGTTATAAAAAGCTTGATTGATAAAAAGTAAAAATCGAAAATGATCTGAGGAGCAGAACGTACTAAACCTGTATTTTTTATCCAGATTAAACCAGCATGAATAAGGAGAAATGTCTGTATGAAAACAACATATAAACTCTGCTTCAATGTAAGCTTGCAAGTAGAATTTTCGCTTCGCTCCCAATCAGCTCGCAGGTTAGAGCAGCACCCCAAGAACATCCCCAATACCATCACACCATAGCTGTCAGTTTCACTTTTATCCCCTCACCTTTAGCAGAGCGGCCCGAGCCGTCCGCCCGTCCTGGGTGACCCCGTTCTGGAATTCCTGTGTGCCGAGTGCCCGGCGACCCGCGGCCAAGACCCCTAGCCACCTGTTTACGGCCGCCCTGTCTCCGGCAGATATACCATATGTGCAAGCAATCTCACGTATATTGAGTCATAACTAAATTTTTTACATCCCCTCTCACCAATGAGCGCGTTGGTGGCGGCGGGATTTATTCGGTGTTTGGCGTTTTATGTGGACCTATTATTACCGCTCGTGTACGGGACGAGAGCGCACTTTATACCTCGGCTACCTATGAACGGGAAGCTAGCGAGCATTATCAGTCAATGGCGATTTTATGACACATTACGAGGAGACGGAGACGGAATGACCAGTTGTGTCTGTGGCTCTGTTGTGGCAGGAGGGTGGCGGCGGACCGCCGGACCGGAGCACCGCTCTGCTGAGGTGTGAGGCCGAGAGCCCTCAGCTCACCCCAGCCTGTCCTGGGTCTCAGCACCTCCGCTGCGTTGGTGCCGGCGTGCAAAATCCACCGGTGTAAGGGGATAGTGATGACGGTGTTGGTTGTAGTGGTGCAGACAGTGACGATGGTGAGGACTGTGATGGTGACGGTGACAGCGGTGGTGTCACGTTGTGACTGTCGCGGCACCAGTCTCCACAGACAGGCCGACCCCGTCATCTCTCACCAAGCAGCGGCGCCGACCCTGGCGGCCTCTCTCTCCGGTAAGAGCCTACGACCATTGACCTCGCCGGCCGGCTGGAACAATGCGCCGCGCCGTGTAGGTGCGATTTATGTCCGACAAATGACGTCATCACGGCCCGCGGGAGTGCCAGATCAGTACTGGGATGCTCTCGATGGCGGCTGTCACGCGACACGACTAGCGAAAACACCGCACCAGGTCGCAGGTCAAGTCACGACGCAGGTCACGGAGCAGGTCACGAAACAAGCCACGAGGCAGGTCTCGAGGAAGATCGCAAGACAGGTCATGAGCTGGGTCAGGGCTGGGTTAGGTTAGTAGGTCCAAGACGGGTCAAAAGAGGATAACCAAGAAAGAAACGGGGAACCCTGGCTTCTCAGGGAGGCTGTCACGTTTCCATTGAGGCCTGTCAATGGCTGAAAAGGCGAGGTCAAACGGCGGTTGTTGGACGAGTAATTTGATTGCGCAACGCTGTTGAAGTACCAGTCTTTGTTTTCAGTAATTGAACGGATGTGTGTAGGAATTAGTTGACACATTGTGTGTTTGGCGTGGGCTTGGAATGAGACATTTTTGTAACTTTGCAGTTGCTGATTTGTTAAACATAATGCAAGCATAAATAAATGTATTGAAATGCTATGTAATTTCATAGAAAATTATTTAAAAAAAGAATAATTTGCTTTACTTGCTAGGTAAATAGACAG